CCCATTTTTTTTATTTTTCTTTGTAATTACTATTTTCATACCAATAATACCCTTAGCGGTAAAATCTCTCCTAAGGGTAATTTCGTCAGAAATATAATTCAAAATTTTCGCCTTCCATGTGTTGAGATCACAGAACTGCAACATTATCCTATCATCGCATCTTCAGTTTCTCTCTCTACAAAAATGGCTTCCACTCTCTCCACCGCTTCTCTCCAATTCCCATCTTGTTCTTCATCTTCTTTTCCATCAAAATTTTCTCATTCCCCAAAATCCAAATCTCTCCATTTCCCCTCTTCATTATCCTCCTCCAATCTCTCTCTTCGCCTCGTTCATCTCCGACCACTTTCCGCAACCGCCGTGCCGGAAAAAGTTACAGAAATCGGAGATGTCATATCAAAATTAACACTCGAAGAGGCTCGAATCCTCGTTGATTACCTCCAAGACAAGCTCGGCGTTTCCGCTGCCGCATTCGCCCCTGCCGCCGTCGCCGTCGCTTCCGGACCTGCCGGAGGAGACGATGCGGCCGCTGCCGTCGAGGAGAAGACGGAGTTCGATGTTGTTATAGAGGATGTGCCGAGTAATGCGAGGATTGCTGTGATTAAGGCTGTTAGGGCTTTGACGAGCTTGGCGTTGAAGGAGGCGAAGGAATTGATTGAAGGTTTGCCGAAGAAGTTTAAAGAAGGAATTTCGAAGGAAGAAGCAGAAGATGCGAAGAAACAGCTCGAAGAGGCTGGTGCGAAGATCGCTATCGTTTGATTTCGTGGCTGGTTAGTTTCTTGAATTCTTAAAGTTTACTTACAATTTAGGCATTCTTATGGAACTAGAGATCGGATTATTCTGTTCATTATGAACTGATGATGAATTTAGTTGATATTCTGTTAATGAATACCTCATTGTTCTTGAATTTGTGCCTTCAATTCGCCGTTGCTGTAGCTTGCTCATAATGTGTTTGTTAAAATGTTAACAAGAAGCTTTGCTTAGGCGTTCTGGTGACCTTAGAAGAGATGTTTTATTTTTATTTATTTATTTATTTATTTTATTTTTTTTTATTTTTTTTTGATGTTCTTAACAGACACGGCTCTCCACAATGGTATGATATTGTCTCTTCGAGCATAAGCTCTTGTGGTTTTGCTTTGTGTTTCCTAGATGGTCTCACCATAGAGTATTCTTTGATTATAAGCTCATAATCATTTCCTAAATTAGCCGATATGGACTTTTATCATCCAACATCTCCCCTCGAACAAAAAACGTATCCCCTTAATCGAGGCTCAACTCCTTTGGAGTCTTAGTCATTTTTTACTATGCTTTCAAGGCGGTTTGACTTCTTTTCTTTTGGAGTTTTTTGTTCGACATTTGAGGATTTACGAATCTATTGACATGACTAAGTTTAGGGCATGGCTTTGATACCATGTTAGACGAACACGACTCTCCACAATGATATGATATGCTCCACTTTGAGCATAAGATGACTTTACTTTGGGCTCCACAAAAGGTCTCACCTCAATGGAGAGAGTATTCTTTGGTTATAAACTCATGATCATTTCCTAAATTAGCGGATGTGATATTTTCATCATCCAACACAGTCGATGAATGCTCTGTTTTTCCTGAATTTGTGCGTCCAATTCGCCATTGCTGAAGCTATGACATGTTCCAGTTTGTGGTGGATTTTTTTGCTCGTGACATGTTTGATAAAATGCCATGAAGAACTGTGGAAATTAAATAAAAGATAAAATTGCAACATTTATCTTAGTTTAGGCTTCCATAACCCATGACAAGCACAAAGACCAAAGAAACACGAATCAAATGAGGCTAAAAAATCCAAAACGGTGTAAAACGAGCTAAACGTGAAGAGAGTTGAGGAACCAACCAAGAGAAAAGAAGAGAAATTGGGTCGAAGTGGTCGGCCTAAAATGAAGTTTGTGCCCATTGTCACCGCTACATTTTTCACCTGACTATACATACGGTTACAACCTACTTTTTTCTTAGTACGGTTTATCTCTTGGCCTGTGTGGTCTTAGTCTCGTCCATTCAATTCTCTTTTGTCTTTTTTAGAGAGATAAGATAAGTACGATTATGTCTAATTTAGATTGATTGGGTTGATGATTCGAGCAACTTGAATAGAGTTTATAACTTATCTACCTACCATAACACATTACTGACATCGATTACAAATGTTAAATATGCTTAATTTTTTTTAAAATTAGGATTGAATTGGATTATAACTCTATTTTCGAGTTCTTAGACACAGATACTACACTTTCCAAGCATTAATACAGATACTTGGGCCCGTACCAGCCCAATATTATGGGCTTTTAAACAGCAATAATCCACATCGACTCGAGACTGAAGAGGCCCAAATATTATGCTATAAATAGCCCCGATTACATCCGTTCTTCCTCGTTGTAATGAAAGGGAATTCCTAAGCCCTAATTTGCCGAGTCGCATATCTTCGACGGTTTCGCCTCACTTCGCTATTGACGCCGCCATCTCATTCTTTTGTTTTGTTTGATTCTCACTTCTTTATGCTAAACGTCGATACAGCGATGATGATTATTGCTTTATTTCTGACACCTCTTGTATGAGAAGTGCGTTCTGGAAAAGATCGCTCTTCTTTGAGCAGATTCAGCAACTTTCTGAGCCATTTTTGTGTTAATAAGAGTCTTTCTGCTTTTAAGTTCTGAAGTATCTGCAGATATACTATTTTCTCTCATTTCAGAACGTCGGATCTTGAATTTTTAAAGAGTTTTCATGTAATCTTCCATGCGCCGACTGTCATTGTTGCGTTAACTTGCAAGACTGTGGCGGAGCCTGTATTCTCCTACTGCTTTCTTGTTTTCCGAGTATGCTGGTCGACGGCTGGGATTATATTGTATTTTGAGATTGAAAATATCTTCGATTAGACTTTTTAAACAAAAAATGCCTTCAACAAATATTTCAAAAAGAATATTCGTCGTAATTTTGTGTTTGAACTCTGTTTTTTAGATTTAATCATTACGAAATCCTTTGCTCAACGTAATATTTCAACATTTGATTTAAGTGAATTTGTTGGTTTTAGTTTTTTGTAAATTTTTTTGTTATTTGTTCTATTGGAAGATAATAGTTATTATGTATTCCAGATTTTATATTGTACTAATTCCTGTTTATTATTTTTGAATTAATTCATTTTGTAAATATATCAATTGTAATTTAAGTCGGTAGTCTTTGTTTGAACATGTAGAAATTATGGTGAATTTATATTATATTTGTAGTTATAAAATATTATAGACGTATTTTTTTCAGTAGAAAGTATACTAGAAAATATAAATTGTACATTAAAAAGTCGATAAATTTGGATGGATGACAGTGGATATTTATGTGGAGAATAGGTGGTGGTTGACTATATGAAAATTGATTGCTGAAACCATGAAAAATGTGGGAAAAAGAAAAACAAAATCATTAGAAAAATAAAACGTGAAAAATAAGTGATGTTGAAAAAGCATGGTGTGTAATAAAAATAAAAATCGATAATTCTCAATGGTTTCTTTCTCCTAAATTTTCAATCCATTTTTTATTTGATATCCAACATAATTTTTGATCTTTGGTCAATTTTTTTTTTTTTTTTTATGTATATTTAAATTTTTATGATTTTGAGTAAGACATAAATTTGTGGAGATTAGATGAATGTTGATGAGTTCGATTGGAGTCTCTAGCTTGAATGTTTCCCAGATTCACCGACATTGTCCTCTATAGATATTTTTTTGGACTTCCTTTCAATGTAATTTTGTAACAACTTAGAGGTCCTTTTTGGGTTTTTCCTTTTAGACTTCTTCTCAATTAATATTGGACATCATAATCCACTCTCTTTTGAGGTCCAATGTTTTTACTAGTACTTATTCCTTCCTCCAATTGATGGGAATGCTCCCAAATCCACTTCTTTTGAGCTCAGCATCCTTATGACACACCGCTTCGTGTCTACTTCTCTTTGGTGGATCAGTAAGGGTTGGCACATCATCTGGTGATATTATTTATAACGACCCAAATTCATCGCTAGCAGATATTGTCTTTTTTGAGCTTTCTCTCAGATCCACCGCTCTGGGCTTTCTCTCAGATCCACCGCTCTGGGCTTTCTCTCAGATCCACCGCTCTGGGCTTTCTCTCAGATCCACCGCTCTGGGCTTTCTCTTAGATCCATCGCTAGCAGATAACGTCCTCTTTGGGCTTTTTCTCAGATCCACCGCGAGCAGATAACGTCCTCTTTGGGCTTTTTCTCAGATCCACCGCGAGCAAATAACGTCCTCTTTGGGCTTTTTCTCAGATCCACCGCGAGCAAATGCTGTCCTCTTTGGGCTTTTTCTCAGATCCACCGCGAGCAAATGCTGTCCTCCTTGAGCTTTCCCTCAGATCCACTGCGAGCAGATGCTCTTTCCTTTTCAAGGCTTTAAAACGCATTTGTTAGGGAAATGCTTCCACACTGATTTGTTCTCCTCCGAGACATCACAAATTTTGTATTTGGGAATACTCTTTTGCTCGTGGGATACATTTTGAAACATTTTAGTCAAGACATGATTTTGGTAACATATCTTATATCTTATTCTCTCATGTTGATACAAAGGCAACATGACCCTTGGGACAACTTTTTTAACATTACGCTAATATATATACATATAAACCTAGCTGAAAAGAAATAATATAAATTCTTAATAATAATAATAATAATAAAAAATCAGATATATGATAAGCTAACCATATTTTTTAAATTTATAGAAAACAATGAATGAAAAACTAACTATAAACTAATACAAATTTAAAATTTTATTGAAATTAATAGACTAAGTAGACGTGTTTTTTTTAGATCTGATCTCTATATAAGCCATTCATCTCCTCCTTCGCTCTGAAACTCACCACTTTCGTCACAAACAAACTCTGAAAAGTAGAAAACGCCATGTCTCTGCAACTGCAAGAAGGAGAAGAAGAAGAAGATTTTGGATTGTGTCCGAGCTTCAACTGTTACTCCACCGGAACTGTCGCTGACGCCGTCCGAAGAGCTGGCGGCGAGTTCTCCGGCGGCTGCTTTCACTTCGATTTCGATCGATCGCTGTCACTGAACAGAGCAGAGGAGAATAACGACGACGATTTCGAATTCGTCTCGCTCCAGAAATCCAGCGATTGCGATGTACTTCGAGGCGCTTTGATAGCTCCTGTGTTTCCGGTTTTCAATTCGGAACTTCTGTTTGAGGAATGTCAGTTTGAGGGAGCGGAAATGGATGAACGAGATTTGGTAACCGTGAAGCCGATTCGAATTCCTTTGGAGAAGCTTATGATCAGAGAGCGTAATGACGATCCGCCGTCGCCTTCGTCGTCCTCGTCGTCATCGTCAGTGGACGAACTGGAAGGAGTTCCATCCGGAACTTACTCCGTCTGGAAACCTAAATCGATCGGAACGCCAAATCTGGCTTGCAAGAAAAGCCGATCCACCGGATCGTCGTCGACAAAGCGTTGGGGAATCCGAGACCTTCTACGACGAAGCCACAGCGACGGAAAGCGCTCCTACGTCTCATTCACGCCGTCTTCGAACTCAACGAAGAGAGAAAAAGGAATCGGAATCAAGTCAGAGACGAAATCCTCGACGGAGCTGAAGGAGAAGAAGGTTCAGTCCGGCGAGGCAAACATCGGCGAGCATTCAAGAAGCCGGAGAGCCGGTGGAGATCAGAAGAGGATTTTCTCTGCATTCGAATCGTTCTACGTCAGGAATCGTGCGTTGAAAGAAGAAGGTAAGAGAAAATCGTATCTCCCTTACAAGCCTGATCTGGTTGGTTGTTGGAGGAACGTTAGTGGATTGGGCAGAGCCAGTCCGTTATGGAGCATTTAATTTTCGTTGCATTTTCAAAAGCTCTGATCATGAGAGGTTCATTCAAAATCTTTGTAGAATCATCAAACTGTTTATGTTTAGAATTTAGATCTGTAAAAAGGAAACATAAAGATGATCGATGAACAAGTTCTTCATTCATCTTTGAACAAAAACTGTTCTTATATGCATTATACAAAGAGATTGTTATTCAATATGATTATGGAATTCCATGAATTTTGATGGAAATTAGGATGAATTCTCCCTTAAATTCATATATATTTTTGTTGCAATCTAGAGGGTACAAGTTTGTCGTTCTTTGTTCATTTTTCTCGTTCTTTTACAAAGTTTCTTTTCAATCTTCGAACTTTTTTATTCACTCCCTAACTACATCAAATCAACATTTTCTTAGTTCAACAACACGTGGATAAAAAAATTTAAATCTTTAACATCTTGATCGAAGATATATGTGACACTCGAGTATACATGAACGATTCAATACCATATTTGAATGAAAATGATCATAATAATATAAAATTATGGTTAAAAAAGATTTAAAAGAACAAATAGTTACTACCGATACTAACAAAGTGCACTCATATTAGAACATTGTAATGTCCCACGTTGGTTGGGGAGAACAAAAACACCATTTACAAGGGTGTGGAAACCTTCTCCTAATAGAAGCGTTTTAAAGCCTTGAGGGGAAGCCCGAAAGGGAAAGCTCAAAAATGACAATATTTGCTAGCGGTGGATTTGAACAGTTACAAATGGTATCAGAGCCATACACTGGATTATATGCCAGTGAAGAGGTTGTTCCCCGAAGGGGGGTAGACACGAGATAGTGTGCCAGTAAGGACGCTGGACCCGAAAGAGGGGTGGATTGTAACGTCCCACATTGGTTGGGGAGGAGAACAAAAACACCCTTTATAGGGTGTGGAAACCTTCCCCTAGCAGACGCGTTTTAAAGCCTTGAGGGGAAGCTCAAAAGGGAAAACAAAGAGGCTGTTCTTTGAAGGGGGTGGACACGAGACGGTGTGGCAGACTATATGCCAGCGAGGAGGCTGTTCCCTAAAGGGGGTAGACTCGAGACAGTGTACCAATAAGGATGCTGGACCCTAAAAGGGGTGGATTTGGCGGGGTCCCACGTGAATTGGAGAAAGGAACGAATGCTAGCGAGAACAAAAATACCCTTTATAAGGGTGTGGAAACCTTCCCCTAGCAAACGGGTATGGAACGTTACAAACATACTAAAAAAAACTCGTCCGAAAACAATGAAATGTTCGGTAGACAAACGAAAATGGGAACAAAAAGTGGCTTTTGGAACAAGTAATGGATTACATTTTTTACCTAGAAAGCAACTCCTCCAAGCACTCGCTGGTTTAAAGTTGTGATTTGGGCACATACATAGCCATTGTTCTACGTTAGTCAAGGAATGAATGAGGAGAGAGTGGCGTGGGAGGAAGGATTTGGATTTGGATTTTGATTTGGAGTGTTCCTTTTTGAAGCCAAGTGGAGTGGAAAATGGAAGAAAATGGGGAAATAATAATAATTATAAGACACATAATTATGATCTCTCCATACCCAATTCATAGTGCCCTGATTTGATGCCAGATGGGGAAAACACAATCATCATATATCCCATTTCATCCTCCTTTTCTTTTGTTTTTTTCTTTTTTTTTTATTTACAATTTTACCCCTTTCTCTCTCGACGTCTCCTCGACTCTTAAAACGAGGACGGTGAGAATCCCACATTGGCCATTGGTTGGGGAAGAGAACGAAACACCTTTTATAAGAGTGTGAAAACCTTTTCCTAGCATACGTGTTTTAAAGCATTGAAAAGAGAAAGCCCAATGAGGACAAACTTGTCCCTAGCCGACGTGTTTTAAAGTCTTGAAAAGAGAAACCCCAAAGAAGACAATATTTGCTAGCGTGAGTTTGGACTCTTAAGACGAGGACTAAGAGTGTAACTAAATGTAAGGACGTTGTAAAGTTTGGCTTGAAATAAAGCTTTTAGGGTAGTGCTCTTTTAATGGGCTTTTCGAGACTCACCTTCTGTGAGGGAGTCTCGGATGTAACTTCGAGATCAAATTCAATGACATCTAATCTTGTTTTTTGGACTGAGTGGAAAAGGGGTTTTTGTTGTTTATAATAGTCACTCATAATTTAGACCTTTTTCGAATCTTGTTAAAAAAGTTTAGAGGTTAATGCAGCGAAGCTAGGTGGTGTTATTATCGCGGGGAAGGATTGACTTTTGCTCCGAGTATTTCTATTGTTGATATGAACCTCACTAATGATTTTGTTTTTCAGAATTTTAGTAACGGATATTCAGTAGGGAACGATGCTCCTTCTCATAATCGTTTACCAATTGAGATTGGTCTATAACCCCCGAGTTTGTAGCTCACATGCACCTCTTGTCTCTCCGCCTCTGTAAACTTCATCATCGTCGCTCTCTAGTACCTGTTATCAATGTCATTGCTGATCATTATATGCAATTTGTCCTCAAGTTGCACAACCATCTCTCTCTCTCTCTCTCAAGTGTTGGTTGCCATCGTTGCTACTCACGTTCATCACCATTGTCTACTTGTTACTCAATGTCATCATTTCTAAAGTATTGAACTACCCGATAACCTAACCGAACCAAACTCAACTTAACCTGACTCGTGCAACCCCGAAAACTTGCTAGAACAAACACAAGTTCGTTTCTATGTATAAAAAGCATTATTTAGCATAACTAATGTTAGTATATTTGTTATGAAATGTCACATACACATATTCAACAAAAATGTTACAAGTAAGAACCTCAAACTTGTCACAAAGATCCAATCTCAAAAATCATCAATCAGAAACTACGCATAACCAAGAACAGAACAACCATGAAACCTGTTCATGAAGCATTCTTGGACCTTCATTTCACAAATGGCACTCCAGACGGTACCCGTCTCGCATACTCCTCGTACTCGTGGCCAAAAAACTGTCTCAAGAAGTACTCTTCATACGGAATTCGTTCAGCAAAGAAGTGCCAAACAACAATGGCAAATGCAACGGTCGATATGGGGTTACACAGCATGATTTGAGTTCCCACCGCCCACACGAGAAAACCGTTGTATCCAGGATGACGAACAAATCTATAAACTCCATGAGTGACCAGCTTGTGATGGTCCTCATGATAGACCTTAATCAGATGCGTGAAAGACCGACCTGCGGTTATGATCGCCAGTTTACGTACGATTTCTCCGACGACAACCATGGCTAGGCCTATATGACTAACCCACCAGTATTCCTTAAGATTGGGACACACCAAAACTTCAAGAAAGTACTCTAAGAAAGATAAGATCATGGCTAAGAGGTAGTTTTTGCTTATCAAAAGGGACTTTAGAGTAACATTTTGTCTCCCATGAATTCCAACGGCTAAGATGTATTCAGAACCATGAAAGAAGATAATTGCAAAGATCATTTGAGACAATTGTCTGCATGCTGTGTAACTGAAAATTTCTGTCATTTTTTTTGTCCACCAAAGATATCAGCTAAGGTTTCTTCACAAACCGAAAAACGAATTCGAAAGTATTTGGCTACGACACGAAAACTTGGAGGTATACTAAGATTTTAGTACAGACCTGAAAATGATATCTCCAATTCAGAAAAATTCTTGAGTAAAAAACCCTGAAGATCTTTTAAGAATAACATCTGCAAAAGAAGAATATGAACAATGAAAACATGTTTGTGTGGCAGAACATCAGGGAAGAAATTTAGTGTATTCTCAGAGGATACAGTCTATGCTAGGCAAACAGCTCAAGCCCACCGACCGTTAGTAGATATTATCCTCTTTGGGGTTTTCCTTTCGAGCTTTCTCTTAAAGTTTTAAAACGCGTCTATTAGAGAGAGGTTTCCACACCCTTTCTAAGGAATGTTTCGTTCTCCTCTCCAACCGATGTGGGATCTCATAATTCACCCCTCTTGGGGCCCAACGTTACAAATGGTATCAAACCCAGACACTGGGTGGTGTATCAGCGAGGATGTTGAGCCCCTAAGGGGAGTGGTTTGTTAGATCCCACATTGGTTGGAGAGGAGAATGAAGCATTTCTTTTAAAGGTGTGGAAACCTCTCCCTCGTAGACACGTTTTGGCATCAATATCTACTAGGCCAAGCCCACTGCTTGTACATATTGTCCTCTTTGAGCTTTCCCTTTCGGGCTTCCCATCAAGGTTTTTAAAACGCGTTTGTTAGGGAGAGAGGTTTTCACACCCTTATAAAGAATGTCCCGTTCTCCTCTCCAACCGATGTGGGATCTCACAAAAAAAATATCAAAAGAAATACAGAATTTGATACCTAATCAATCTAGACAAACTAAAACTAACAGAAACCCTACTAAGGATGGTAGTGCAGTATAATACAATGGTATCATCAGTTAGATGAACACAATTCACTCTCTACAATGGTACGATATTGTCCACTTTGATCATAAGCTCTAATGTCTTTGCTTTGGGCTTCCCCAAAAGGCCTCATACCAAGTATTCTTTGATTATAAACCCATAATCATTCCCTAAATTAGCCGACGTGGGACTTTTATCCAACAGTTTCAACTTTCAATACACAAACAGAATCTCAAGTTTCCATTCTATCAACAAAGAATTATACAGATTTCTACCTAGAACACTAAAAGAATGTATGTACTTACCCTTTAAATGACAAACTTCCCATTATCAAAGCTAAGAAAATGAGCTTTTCTCTCTTAAATAAACTAGACTTTCAATCAAACTCATTCACAGAGATGCCAAATCACTTTTCAGTCAAGCAAATTAACAAACACCTTAAAGGCCAATCTAAAAATAATCCGAGAAACCCAGATAGAAAAACATGGAAAACAAATCAAAGAACCAATCAGTAAGTAAAACGCGTAAAAGCTAAAAGGGGCTTACCAGAAAAGTGAAGCAGCGCAAAATCCGTAAAGAAATTCCTTACGAGCTCACGGTGACTGCAGAGATCCAAGCGGTGGGTGCGGACGCCGGGAGAGGGAGATGCGACGGCCGACGTCCAAGTTGAAAGAGTGAAAAAGGGCTGAGAGACGAGGCTGAAAGAAATGAAAACTGAGAAATCAGGCGTCCGTTCGAGCTAATGAAAACCAAGGATCGAACCGGTTCACCATAAACCCTTCCTCTTGCGTCTTCGGTTCTTTTTCGGTCCATTAGGATTACATGTTTTTCTGTGAAATACGCTTTAATTTATATATATTCTTTAATTTAATGGAATACTTTCTATTAACTAAATTTAATAAAGTATTAAATTATTCAACCTTTTTTAAAAAATCATTAATCTCAATAAAAATTAATTAATTTTAATTTTAATTTAATATTCAAGTTAAACACAAAAATCATAAATCTGTATAAAAAAAAATCATAAAGGATATTTAATTTTTTTAAAATCTAGATAATTATTTTTCAAAAAATAAAAATATCTCATAAATTATGAATTTTTTTAAATCATAATTCCCTTAGTTATATCTTTAATTAATTAAAAATATTTTAAAACTAATAATTAAAGTTTTTTTATATATAAACCAATAAAATTTAGAGTTTTAATTAATTTAATCTTGAAAATTTACCTTTTTTTTTCTAGGTATGATTTTTTTATTATTATTATTTAGCTAAATATTAAAAAACAAAGTAATTTTTAAAAAACTAAATTATTATTAAGAAAATTATAAATTGATTTTTTTTTCCTAAATAAATATCCTCGTGTCGTGGGACCCACCTAAGTCCTCCACGTGAGCCGTAGGGCTGTCAGTGTCAGAGAGCTCTTTTTTCTTCCCTCGTTTAACAATAATAATAATAATAATAAAATATAAAATATAAATTAATTTTACAAAACGTCGACTTCGCGAAGCCGGTTCGAATCTCTATATATAGTAATTGTAAATATTTTTTTTTGATATTTTAGGCGTAAGAACGAGAGGATTCTGAGTTCGAAAATGGCGGTTCTGCCTCTGCAGCAGCTTCCTTGTGTGAGGACTATTGACAGTTCGTCTTCGCCATTGTTGAGAGGAGGTAAATCGTCGTTGTTTTGGGGAAGACATTTGCGCTTTGGAATTGGAGGTATTAGGGATGGTCCGGGAGTGAAAGCTGGATTCAATGGTCGAGGTTTTGAGGTTTTCGCCATGTCGGATGGCTCTTCTTCTTCGTATAAGATGAATCTCAATGAGTACTTGGTTACTCTCCAGAAACCGCTCGGCATTCGGTTCGCGATTTCCGTCGATGGAAGAATCTTCGTGCACTCGCTTAAGAAAGGGGTATTTTAAGTTCTCTCCATTTTAAATTTTGGTTCTGGTGTGTCGTCTGTGGTGCGCTTGCTTGGAGTATCATATGTAGATTGAGTTGTGTGTACGGTTTCTCTTATGATGTTTGTGAATGTTTGATTAATCCACCAAAGTTATCTCATTCATAATCAAATAACTTATTCATAATCAAATAAATTAGAAGGATATGGAAGTAGTAATAAATGGAAATAACAATAAATGAAAGATACCTATGATAATAATAAAATATCAAATATAATATATGTGGTAAACTATAATTTATTACTAAATATCCTTAACAGTGTTCCTTTGAAGTCATGGTTGGAATTGAAATGTTGGGAGAAAATGATACGAGTTTTGTATTCCTCTGTCGCCAGAGGTGATTAATAGGGATAGATTGACAGTTAATACAACGGAGAATTTAGTTTCAAAATCAGAATTGTACCAGATTTAGATCTCTAAAAATTACCTCAAAGTCTGTTGTACTAGGACGGATATGCTGTGTAATTGTATTTTCTGGTTTAATTTATGTAACTAAACTCTTTGAATGCCTTGATGTTTGTATAACCTGTATCCGAATGATGCCTCAATGATTCAACCAGATATTTGACTGCAAGAAACTTGATCTTTATAGGGTAATGCTGAGAAGTCGAGAATAATCATGGTGGGGGACACTTTAAAGAAGGCGAGCGATTCTTCTGGCGTCAAGCTCGTTGAGATCAAAGACTTTGGAGATACACAGTATGCACTATTCACTTGACGTAGAGTCTACAAGAATTGGGTGTATATTCCCTTTCTAAGTTATTAAATATTTGATTTAGAATTATGGAAATGCAAAACTTGTGTGTGTTAGTCTTAGAAGTAAATCGACTTTTCTATGATTTTCTTTTCGAGATTTTTCCCATTCATCATTTTTATGTTTGTTTTATTTTCAGTATTTGGTTTCTTCAGGATGATGCTGAAGGAGAAAGCAGGGTCTTTTAGCCTGGTTCTTGAAAGACCTTTCACTCCTTTTCCGATTCAACATCTTCTGCTTTCAAATGATTTAGATATTTTATTTAATCGAGGTCGAGTACCTATTGCTACTTGGAAGAAAGAAGTTTTGGCTGTACAAACATCTGATGCAAACTGTGGGAATTCTGGCTTTGCAACTTTCTCCTCTAAGTTCTCAACATCATTAGGTTGGAAACTTCTAAATAATCAAAATGGAGATGTTAAATCACCCATGCAGAGAAACATTCTCACGCCTCAGATCAGCCAGGTTGTTTGTATATTTACTGAAGAGGATCCTGGAGAAGGAGAATGGGCTCATGGGAGCTTTCCCATAGACGAATATGTCAAGGCATTAGAACGGTCTAGAGGGGAGCTATATTATGATCACTCTCGTGGTATGAGCTATAGTAAGGTGGGTTTTCATTACTTATATAGTACCGTTACAGCTTGCTTAGAAATTCAACGTATTTGAGTCAAGAATTCATTAATACACTGAGAGCTCAAACTTTTTTTTGTCTGTTCATAACTCATACCATAGCATGGAGCTAACTTTCTTGACTAAATGTGCTGTGGTGATAGATCACAGAGCAAATTTATGTGGGGTCATGTTTACAGACTGAAGCAGATGTTGAGGCTTTGTCAAATAATGTGGTTAGTGCCTTTTCAATGTCTTTTTTTTTTTTTTTTTCTCTTTTAAATTGATGTACTACGATCATGCATGCTTAGAGGTCCATGTTGCTGATAGTAGCCATTAGGCACCTTTTTATTGTAGTTCAGTACTTTTTAGCTGTATTGCAGGATGGTCTTCCAGCATTATTCTCAAGAATTTGGGGAAAAGTTGTGATTTAAATCAAGCTCTGCACTAAGTAGTAAAGATATGCTATCATAATCTACCTTGTTAGACGAACACGACTCTCCACAATGGTATGATATTGTCCACTTTGAGCGTAAGCTCTCATGGCTTTGCTTTGGGCTTCCCAAAAGGCCTCACACCAATGGAGAGTGTATTCTTAGATTATAAACCCATGACCATTCCCTAAATTAACCGATGTGGGACTTTCATCATCCAACACCTCCCCTCGAACAAAGCACGCCTCTCCTTAATCGAGGCTCGACTCCTTTGGAGTCTTAGTCATTTTTGACTGCCTTCGTACCTTCGAGGAGGCTTGACTCCTTTTTTCTTTTTGGAGTCCTTTGTTCGACATTCGAGGATTTGCCAATCTATTGGCACGGCTAAGTTTTAGGGCATGGCTCTGATACCATGTTAGACGAACACGACTCTCCACAATGGTATGATATTGTCCACTTTGAGCGTAAGCTCTCATGGCTTTGCTTTGGGCTTCCCAAAAGGCCTCACACCAATGGAGAGTGTATTCTTAGATTATAAACCCATGACCATTCCCTAAATTAACCGATGTGGGACTTTCATCATCCAACATACCTAAGTTTACAGACAAGATGATAAATTTTCAACTTATAGTACCAAAGTGGATGTTACTCTAGATTTTATGAGGGATAGCAATATTTGAATATTTGCAGCTTTTCAATATAATCGACGTTCTGAATGAACAATGTGAATATGTGATAAACTATGAGTCACCAATGTACCCTGAGTAACAATCATTGCAGAGTCACAATTGGTTCGATTTGAATCAAACCGAGACTTATTTTTTGGGTTTTCATTGTTCTGTGTCTTGTCTATATTGGGTCCTGTACAATTAGGCCAAGTTTTTGAAGCATGCCCTTATTGTATCTTGGATGCAATCTGATTTTTGTTCTGTCTACTAGGTTTTGAAAATGTTGAAGCTGACATTTGTCATCTGTCTTCTGTTTTAAATTTTCTGTTCCTGGTGTTCTTCTGCACAGTTCTTAGTCCATCTTGGTTAGTCCTTTTTTGAACATTTTCTACAGGGAATCACCGCAGTTCTGAATTTTCAAAGTGCAACTGAGGCAGAAAACTGGGGGATTAGCTCCAAGTTAATCAATGAGTCGTGCCAAAAATATGATATTCTCATGATCAACTATCCTATTAGGTGAGCAAAAACTTTGTACCATATGCTGTAAATTTGATCTCTCAAGAATGTTGTTGATTGAAAAATTGATGCATTATGATCGCAATTGTGAAGTTTCTGAATTTGAATTTTATTGGTCTTGCTAAATGAATTCCTTTTATTCAGAGATGAAATTATAGCCTTTTATTTTTGAAATTCTCTTTAATTAATGTTAACCATCTTGTTCATTTACCCGTCCCTAGATGTGATTATGCTACTTTGTGAAGCCCATAACGAGAAATAAAAAAATGGGTATTGTGAATTTCTCATGCTAAGGGCCATTATGTTGATCCCATAATCTTGTAATAGCATGACCGATTTATATAATTTCTTTTTCTTCAGGGAAGGAGATTCTTATGATACGAGGAAAAAACTACCATTTTGTGTGGGCCTACTTCTACGACTGTTAAAAAAGAACCATCGAGTTTTTGTAACTTGTACCACCGGTTTTGATCGAGCTCCAGCAAGTGTGATTGCATATCTACACTGGATGACAGATACTTCTCTTCATGCAGCTTATAATTTTATCACCAGTTTGCATTCCTGCAAACCTGACAGGTTTTCCTCAATACCACCTGCATAGTCATGTAGGAGTCGAGCACATCATAATTCAGTTGAATAGAATGACATTTCATATACATTGGAAGAACTAACGTGATTTCCCTTCGCTAATTTAGAAGTTGCATAATTTATACACCTATCTAGAAGCCGAGAAAATCAAAGACTATTCTTGTAAATGGCTGCTCATGGTTTGCATATCAGATAATGTAGTAAATATCCTTATTATACTAGCAAGAATAACTTCATTAATACAAAAATTCAGTAATACAAATGTTTTTAGGTAGAATTTATTCTTCAGTAATACAAATTTTTTTAGGTAGAATTCATTTAGGTTTAAAGTAGACAATATCATATCCTCGATACATGTTATCGAGGGACATGTTGCCATGTGTTGAGGACTTTACTTTTTTCATGTTCTCACTTATTAACTCTTCCCCACTCCTTCCAATGTTTTTGCTGGTCTGGACCAGAGTTAAATGTACATGATGCATATCCATCGCAATACATATTTCCTCTGCTATGATTTAAATTACATTCTTCAAATCTTTTTGCAGGCCAGCAATTGCTTGGGCTACCTGGGATCTCATAGCAATGGTGGAACATGGAAGGCACGATGGACCTCCCACTCACGCCGTTACTTTTGTATGGAATGGTCAAGAGGTAATTGTGGAATCTGTCTGCATATCTTTACCAATCTTCTTGTTATTCTATTTTATGAAGAAAATTATCTCCACTTTTTGTTCGGTACAGGGGGAGGATGTAAATTTGGTGGGAGATTTTACTGGTAACTGGAAAGAACCGGTCAAGGCTAGTCACAAGGGTGGGCCAAGATATGAAGTAGAAATGAAACTTCCTCAAGGGAAGTAAGTATAAGAACATTGTCTATAGTATTTAAAATACAAGCTTCTACGTCAATTTACCAGATGCATCTTTGTTGATAATCTTATTTTAAAATTTTATCCATTGCAATTTTACCATCACTCAGTGATGTAATAAATTCCACTCGAAATATCTGCTCCAATCTTTATTCTTCAAATGTATTGACCCCTTGCCCTTGAATGATAGAAGAACTACTAAGATTTTCTTAGATAGCAGTCGTATCTATGATCAATCAATAGGTCTGCGGATCTATTATTCTATACGATGAATCCCCATCTCATAGTACCACCATGACACCAATTCTCAACAATGTTGTTTGAATTTTATTTTTCTCCTGAGTGATTTAATTTTATTTTCCTAGGATTTAGCCATCCTCCTAAAAGGATTGCCAACTTGAACCTAATTCAATTTTAGGATATTATAACTTCTCTTGTGGGTTGAAAGGTGGAATATGCCACTTAACTTGAGAGAAAAAAAACTTGAAAAATTATTTCTCTGACCACTTACATGCTAACATTATGGTAAAAGTGGGCCCTGCCTAACGTGTTATAGGCCTTACAAAATGCAGCCAGAGGGGGTGACTTATAGCATCTGACTAGCTCATGCTTAACATCATCTATTTACATCACTTGGACTCAGTGATTCATGACGAGCCTTTTCCTAGCTTAAGTAAGCCTGATTAACTGCCTCTCTTTATCATCAGGCTATCTGTATTTTGTTTGCTCGAAGGAACAAAATTTACACAATCATTTTGAAATATAAAATTTGTAAACATAATTTGCATTTGCTTTGTTATTTGTTGCTGACTGAACATTCTGCCCTCCATGATATTGAAACTTCGAAGTTGGAACTGTCATCGTTCCTCGGCTCCCTGCAGCTCCAGCCGCTCGCTGTAATAGCTTGCTGGAGTGCAAGCGGCTGAGCCAGAGTGGGCGTGGCTCAACCACACATTTTGCTCAATCGTATAGTTGCAATAGCCTGAAAACTAACTGCTAATGAAGGATTGAAAGGAAAAATAGTATTAATATTGATTTTTTATGGGCTTTAGGTATTACTACAAGTACATCACAAATGGTCAGTGGAGGCATTCAACAGCTTCGCCTGCTGAAAGGGATGATAGGGGGAATGTCAACAATGTTATAGTCATTGGCGACACTGCCAGTGTCAGGCCTTCAGTTCAACCGCAAAAAAAAGTAAGCTTCTTCTCAAGTTTTAAAATGAGTTCTTAATGTTTGAGCGTCTTTATAATTTAGTCCTTCATGTTTTAACATTTTTCAGTTTAGTTCTCATTAAATGTGAATGTTAAAATTGCATGGTAATAAACTTGCATGATATAAAGTCAGAGTGAATTGGTAGTAATTCAGGTAAGGAAAAAGGACATCTAATAAGTTCCTAATGTTTGAGCGTCTTGCATATCTTTTTTAATATTGTCGATTCACTAAGTATAAGACGATGTTAGCTTATCATCACCCGAATTTAACATTCACCAATGCACACCGGCACTAGCAATTCAGGAAAGGAAAAAGGACATCGAAGAGAACGAATCTTATTCAAGTTCCTAATGTTTGAGCATCTTGCATATCTTTTTTCTATTCACCAAGTATAAGATGATATTAGCTTATCATCACTCAAATTTAACATTCTCGAATGTACACGAGTACTAATGAAATGTTCTAAATCATAGAGACTAAATTAAAACGAATATCGATGTATTTAGCTTAAAAGTGTTGATTTCTTTTATTCACCCTCTTAAAACTTGGTCTGGATCTGATATAATTGATTTTCGTTTTTGAAGGATGCAAATATTGTGAAGGTAATTGAAAGACCACTTACAGAAAATGAGAGGTTTATGTTGGCGAAAGCGGCTCGTTGTGTTGCATTTTCGGTATGTCCAATTAGACTAACTCCCAAGTAATTTGGACTTTGGACATAATTTGCAAAGCTATATATATATATATATAGCAAAATTTACAATATTTTGTATCTTAGTTTTAATCCTAAAGTACAGACGAATAAACATAAATGAATATTCCTTGTGATATAGAGACACTATTTAATTAAGTGTTTTGAACGTTTATCAAATAGATAAATGATTTGATGATAAATTAGCATACTAATTGAGATAATGCAAATGACTAAAATACCCACTATACCAAATTGGATAAACAGGTTATGTAGAGTACGGAAGATTTGAGCCTATAATTTTGAGAGAAGGATTACGTGTCAATATGATATGAAAGGAGCCGTTTTCATTGTTACTGTACTGTGGTTAAAATTAAGTGTGCCTATCTAGGACTAGATCTTGGTACCAGTTCGTAACAATCAATGTCGAATTGTGAACCTATTAATGAAGCGAATTCAATGAAGCAACAACTGGTACCATATAGAAGCGGCCATAAACGGGAGTTTTTGACCAATTTGAAAGATCATTTAGTTGAAATAATTTGTGAAGTTTCGGTTGTTCGATCGAGTAAGGGAAACTCCTTTTCTTTTCGCCATGCATAAACTAAACTAACAATTAGGATGAGTCCAATTTTCTCTAATATTATATAATCAAATGAACCTGTGAAATTATTTGAGTTTAACATGTTGCTTAACCAATTGAGTCTTTCATTGGGTGTTTGATGAGACTAAAGTCGAACCTAATTGTTGAGCTTGAGGAGAGTGATCGGTAGCAATTTCTCATTATTTTTTTATTAATAAAAACTAAATGTTTAAAACCCTATAAATAAAAATCATGGTTATTATTCACAAAATATTTAAACCATGGACAAATTTTGATGTAATAATGTCAATAAGAGCATATAAGAAAAAGAAAAAAACAAAAATCCCCTCATTTTGGCTTCCACGCTCGGTCCGACACGTCGAAAAAAGGTCGAAACTATGTCAAGAAAATGTCGACATTTAAAGTAATTCCTTTCTTCGCCATTTTCTGTCCCAATCTTCTACATATTAGCTTCAATTTTCTCTCCTTCCCCCGCCCCTCTCTCTCTACTTACAGACATTAACGAATAAACGCCTGCGCCATGGACGACGGTGGCTTCACCTTCATTCCGCCGCTTTCTTGCCGGACAAGGCCCCCTTCGCCGCTATGCCCCCCCCCCCCCCCCCCCCCCCCCCCCCCCCCCCCCCCCCCCCCCCCCCCCCCCCCCCCC